GAGAGAGATTTATTTTAAGGAATTGACTGGTGTAATTATAAAATTACACCAAATTATAGAATTTTGGCAAGTCCAAAATCTACAGGGTGGGCTGGCAGATTGGACACCCATGGAAGAATTGCAGTTTGAGTTCAAAGATGGTCCTTTGGTAGAACTCCCTCCTCCTAGGGGAAAGTCAGTCTTTTCTATTAAGGCCTTTAACTGATTGGGCAAGGACCATTCACATTATGGAGCATAATCTACTTTACTCAAAGTTTATTTATTTAAATGGTAATCTCATCTAAAAAAATTCTGTAGTGAAACATCTAAAATACTGTTTGATCAAATATCTGGATACTGTGGCCTAACCAAGTTGAGACACAAAATTAACCATCACACCATACATAAGAATTGCCTGAGCTTACTTGTGAAACATGGATTCCTGGGCTCCATACGTAGAGATTCTGATTCTTTTTTTTTTTTTTTTAATGTTTATTTGTTTTTGAGAGCGAGAGAGAGGCAGAGTATGAGTGGGACAGGGGCAGAGGGAGAGAGAGGGAGACACAGAATCTGAGACAGATTCCTGTCTCCGAGCTGTCACCACAGAGCCTGACGTGGGGCACAAACTCACGAACTGTGAGATTGTGACCTGAGCCAAAGTCAGATGCTTAACCGACTGAGCCACTCAGGCGCCCCAGAGATTCTGATTCTAATTGCAGTTCTAATAAGCTCCCAGGTGATGCTGATGCAGCTCTTCTAGGAACTACTTTCTGAGTGGTATTGTTCTTGGTATGCTATGGTATGATCATGGGCCAGCCTCTTACATATGGGAAAACTGAAGCTCAGAGTTATAAATGGGCTTGTACAAACGCTCTTATATAGTTAGATATTCTACCCCAAATTTTCAAATTTTAGCCCAGGGCTCATTCTTCTTAACATACTTATCATACAAACAAACTTTCTTAGGATGAAATCTAGCTTTGTAACTGAAGTTTCCTCAAAACCACAGTGAACTAATGGGATTTTTCATAGAACTTGGCAACCCAGTTCTAAAATTCATGTGAAAAAGAAAAGGCCAGGATTAGTCACAATTTTGAAAAAGAATAAGTAGGAAAGATCCACAATACTATATCTGCAGGGGTTCTATAGAAATTATAGCAATTAAAGCAGCATAGTATTGACAAATAGACCATTAGAACAAACCAATAACCCATTGCTAGGCCATGTATATTTGAGATGTTCATGACCGAAGTAGCACTATTAGGAAAAGATAAGCTACGAATAAATACTTCCAGGAAAGGGCTATCCATGTAAGGAGAAAATATACTTCTTATTCATAACAAATTGAAAATATAAGTGAATAATAGAAGAAAATATTTTAATACATATAACCATCAAAGGATTTTACACACACACACACACGCAGGCACACACACACACCTCTTACAAATGAATAAGAAGAAGAATCCAATAGAAAAACGGGCACAGATTATGAGGTCACTTCATTGAAAAGGACAGTCAAATGTCTATAATTTTATGAAAATATTAATGTTAGTAGACATAGAAAACAGTATAATCACTTTTGAGGGCAGTTTGGTAAGGTAGAAGGAGTACATTCCTTATAGTCCAGGAAATTATTTGTATTTACAAAGAGATTTTTGCAGAGTTGTTCCAACAAAAAATTGGAGATAACAACTCAGCAAAGAAATAGTTCAACAAATTGTAGGATAATTACATTTTGGGATACAAAATAGAGTAGGTCTTGAAAGATCTCTCCAGATAAAGTTTAAAAAAAAAAAAAACCCAGTGTTGAGTGAGAAAAAAATATAAGTTAAAAAATGACACATAACATATGATACCACTTGAGTGAAGTCTCAAATCTCACAAAATAATGCTATATATTGTTACGGGTGCACATTGTCATAGGATATAGATCAACTTCAGGATATGATTATCCTTGGGGTGTAGGAGGTGGGCAAAGGGAGACACTGGAAGATGGGAAGAGGGATTTAGCTGTATCTTATTTTTTTATTTAACAAATCTCAAGGTGACATGACAAAACATTTGTCTTAAATCGGAGCGGTGGGTATTTGAGTGTTTTATTATTTTCTATATATTTGAAATTGTCCTTAATGACACATTTTTAAAGAAATAAAAATACTACTCCTATAGTTATTATTTTTAGTATACAATTGTATTTCTTCTGAGGCCTAAAATGCATGGACTTTCTTCTTTCTGTGTATTATTTTTTTCTTAGGTATCCTTTTCTACTTATTATAAAATCTTTGAGTCAGAAGAAAGTTGAGAGGGTGTTTGTTCAAATCTACAACCTAAGATGGGCACTTCTGGATTCAAATTGGTGTTCCAGGTAAAAGCACTTGTTAGAGTTTTCCTTTACGTTTAATATTCTGGAAAATATGGTTTCGGTTAACTGGAAATTTTGTTTTAACTGAGTCAAGGTCCAGGGACAATGAGTTTTGTTTTTTTTTTTAAAGAGTAGACATAATAAATTACACTTAACATTAATACAATGCTGAACACATAATTTTAACTATAATGACACAGAAGGCTGTGAAGATTTCAGGGTCATCATCATAACCATCAATTATCATTATTTTGGTAATATGTGGAAGTGCCAATTGAAAGAGAACTGATTGGCAAAATGTCAGTTAACATGGAAGAAAAAGAATCCATGGAGAAAAAGGAATTGTCGCTTATGGAGGTATTGTGGGGTATGCTTTAGATATATAATTTCATTTAAATCTTGAAGCAATTGTGAAATGTAGCTATTCTTACTCTTGATTTTCAAAAAAAAGCATTGCAGTTCAGAGATGAGGTAATTTACCCTAAGTCCTGTTGGGAAAAATTATCCCAAACCTGAAAATAAAGCAAAAAGATACCTGCATGACCTTCAATATCATACTGGAGTTTTATCTAATTGGAGTTCATCAAATATTCATTCTCTAGGAGAATGTACTCTTGTTTGACTTCTTATTTACTAATGATTAGTACCAGAAGTTATAAGTTAACTTGTGAATTTCCTTCCTTCCTTCCTTCCTTCCTCTCTCTCTCTCCCTCAATCTCTCTCTTTCTTGTAAGCTCTATGCCCAATGTGGGGCTTGAACTCGCAAGCCTGAGATTAAGGGTCACATGCTATACTGACTGTTCAGCCAGGTGCCCCTAACTTGTGAATTTTTGTCATGAAAATGCAAATGATTTTTGTCCAGTATAAAATGCAATTCCAAAGATCATTTCAATCTATCTATCTGTCTATCTATAGCTATAGATTTAGTCTTTCCAGTTATTGAAACAGTTTTACAGTCCTACTGCTTCCCTTATTAATAGGGCAAATGAATTTTGGCATGTGTTCTTTGTATATTCGTACAAGAGTCAAAGTGTGTATCTTACTGAAAATACTCTGGTGGGCCCACAGCTAGAGGCAGAGCTTTAGCCCCAGAGCTCATGCTCTCACATCCTCTCTTTTTGGCCATATGTAGTGTACTTCATTACTGAAAATGCAAGCTTAATTAAGGGACTGGTCCTCCTAAGTGGGGGCAGGGAGAATCTCATTGTTAGAAAACAGTGCCAGTTCTCATTAATCTGAGAGGTGAATACAATACGAAGAGATCCCATCTCTGGGTGTGTTTTTTCTAATAGGTAGAGGTCTTATCCCTTGGATCCATACATACTATTGCTACTTCCCCCTGCCTAGTAAATAGAGGGATAGGATGGATGATCCACAATTTAGTCCTAACCTGTGTGACTAAGTGTTTGGTACATACGCACAAAATATATGTTTTGTACATGTGCACAAAATGTATAAATTTTGTACTATGTCTCTTGAGTTTCATAGGCTGGATTGAATAGATTGTGCTACTGTGAGTTTCGTCAGTGTCCCTGCCTATAACTTCTGTCACCATCTCCACCCAACTGACTTGCAGCTCTATACTGAATCCCTATAACCCAAGCCATTTTTACAAACATTGTTCTATTCTATAAACACCAATAATATACATTCACAAACATATACCATGAAACCCTGCTCATTCCGTGTAATAAGGGAAAGTGGAGTGAATTAGTGAATATGGAATTGTGGACCATTTCTCAAGGACGGAAGTAGCATTATTTTCAAGTACATATATGATGGTATTTCAGTTATGAAACTATACACAGTAGTTGTCCTTAGGGACTTAATTAACAGGGAGATAAAAGTGGTATGTAATCAGTTTATCAACTGACAGAAGAAATGGACATTTCTTAAATGATTGCAAATGTAAGCAGGTTAAACAATCTTAGTTTCCCTGTAAGCCTTTCTAGACTATCAATTGAAACAGAATAACCTTTCTTCATGAAAAAAAAAACAAAAAACAAAAAACAATAGAATTGTTTCAAATCCAAAGAAGGGATATGTGAACTAGGGAAGTTCCCATGCTTCTACATTTCCCCTACAGGTTACTTCATTAAAGGAGCTAATTGGCTTTGTCCACATCCCTGGTATCACCTTCTTGAAGCAAAATGTGAAACAAGGTCTCCTGGCAACTGGAAACTAGTATCCACTGCCCTTTTGCCCAGAAAAAGGGGGCTACCATTGAACCAAGCGAAACCCAGAGGACACAGGCAGGCGGTCAGGCAGAGTTGCCTGCTGATGCTAATTATCTTAGCCCAGCGCTTCCCTTCTGGGGAAGTAGGAGGAGAGAAATTCATGCCAAGTTCTTCCACAAGGTCAAATGTTTCTGGAGGAAGGCAGCCAGGGTTAAATTAGCAGTCAGAATGAGGTAGAAAGCTGGGTGGAGAAAAACAGGCTGGGAGAAGAGGGGAGAAGTCTGGAAATTCAAATAAAGACAGCAGTAAAAAGTAATTACTAACACATTTCCCAACTTGGAAAGCTAGCCACATCCCACAACAGGGCCAGACTCGGAGCTGTTCTGTTCCAAGAAGGTTGGAGCAGGCTCAGGGACAGGAAGGGACTGTGCGAGCCAGCTGCCTGTCCCTGGCTTTGGAGCTGTGCTCCCCGAAAAGGAAAATTCATCTTGAAAGAGAAAGCAAAGGACATTGCTGCCTAAATTCTCCATTAAGATAAACATTCTCCCTACATTCAATTATCTGTCCTTCCAAGACTCAACAGCAAAAAGTCATCAAACATCAAAACAAAGGAAACGGAAATCTTCTAGGAAAACGTAAGCCTTTGTGAACCTAAAATATTTCTCTTCTCTGCTTGCTGTTCATCAACATAACTGGAGGAAAGAAACTGTTGTGGGAGGGACGGATCTTAGGAGAAGAGGAGGAGATGGGGGGGGGGAGCGGGGAGAAAGGAAAGGGGAAGCAATGCTCTCTGGCGTCAAGAAGAAAATCATGATTAGATAGACTGTTTGGAATTAACTGTTTTGACAGTTGATTTTTATTATTTTTCCCCCCTCCAACTTCAGAACCATGACAGATGATTGCAGAACATCAAATTGATGAGTGAATACTTCACCAGATCTGGTTGCCTCAACAGCGAAAATAGCCAAAATGTTAAGACAGTCAAATAAGATTGATTATTTCTGATACAATCTGTGGGTGGTTGACCCAAGAATTCGCAGCCTAATCACGCATATAAACAACAGAGGCTGTCTCGGCAGATGCAGAAGCCGGCAAAGGACAAGTGAGAAATCCGTCAATCACCTGGATGCCTCATCGTTGCCGAGCGGGGGAGTGGTGTGCAGAGAAACACCCAGAAGAGTGCCTAGATTGCTTCTGGGTGCTGGGTGTCACAGGAGGCAAACAGCCTTAAAAGCTGGGGATTCTGATCCTTTCTGTTTCTAACGAAAAGACAGTCTGGCTTGTAATGGAAAAACAGATTCCCTCAAATTGTTGTCTAGAGGTGCTGAATCATGCATGAATGTCAGGAGATGACGCCAACCACGGCATCATTTCATGGGGACTTTATCTGGTGTGAACCAAGAGAATTCTACTTTATGAATTTTCTTTAAACATCCACAGATAATTGTTGTGCTGTGTCATATACCAAAAGGGAAATTAAATCTCTCTCATAATTGGATTTGGTATTTGCAGGCTTTCCTGAAGACAAGGGAAAGGAAATTCATTTCAGACTTTTAAAAAAACCTTGAATTAAAGAATTGCGATCACCATATCAGGTGCCCATCTGAATTTAACCCACCACTTGCAGAGGGATGAACGCCTTGGCGTGATGGCACAGGTACAAAAGGTTACTGAACTTCACACTCGTTTGTTTGGCTAAGTTTTTCCTTTTCATTTTGAGTTCTAAAAAAATTATTATTTGATAGCTTGGTGGCAATGCAGTCTGTGTTGAGAAAATAGGAATTGATTAAGAAGTGAGAGACTGTGAGAGACTGAAAATGAGTGGTGAAAAAAGCCTACAAAGCATTTACAGTGTAATTTTCCAATACAGATTTGAGCAGACACCATATGCAGTTAGAAACAGATGCATTTTCAATGCTATATTACTGAACGAAGAATAATTTCTGTTTCCCCATTTTTAAAGAGAATCCAAGAAAATACAATGTTAAATCTATATGTTAGCATGACATTCATTTGAATGCCTAATTGCTTGAAACTTGAAGGATTCTGTTTCGACTCAGAGATCCTGACATAACTAGCATATAGCTGGATGTTACGGAAGAACACTGGCAAAAATCATTTATGGAAACAAAACATTAATCTGTAACAACGTATGCTAGACTAATTAGCAAGGATGTTAACTTGATATATGGCTTCCTAATGAATCTGGGGATACATTTGGATGTATGTTTAAAACTTAATAGGGGCACCTGGCCGGCTCAGTCCATGGAGCATGTTACTCTTGATCTTGGGGTTGTGACTTCTAGCCCTATGTTGGAAATATAGATTACTTTTTAAAAAATCTTAAAAAAATAATATCACATCTTCAATAACTTTATATTTAATAATACCTTTTACTTTTCTATTCTCATTGACCTGCACCACAATCCTTGGGGGTCCACATCTACACTGGACATATGCTGATGAATATTTAGCCTCGCCTGATGATTGACTTCCCTTTACTCCCAGCTAAATTTGTAAGGGCTGAGCTTCTGTTTATATCAAGGTAACAGGAAAAGTTACCCAAACAGATAATCCACTGTGAGGCCAGAAATTTATCCCATTCCTAGGAATTTGAACCAGGATCTTCCTAGAGAATAAGATAGTGGTCAGAGCCAATGCTGAAATGTTTCGATGTAGAGGGAAGTTGAAGAGACCATGATGCTAGCGCAAGTTCTAAGAAAGCAAAAACCATGAACCATTAGAAGTGATAAGGAGAGAGTAGAGACAGCAGAAGGGGAGTATGAAGTAGGAGGGAGAAACTGAAAGGAAAAGAAGAGCCAAGTCAGAAGAATACAAGAGGACCAGCATGGGACTCCATGACCTCCACTTTCAGTACTAGGCAGGGGCATTCCTACCCTTGGTGTGGTTTTTCCTGGCAACACTCCGTAACATGAGTGAGTCTCTATTCCTTGCATCCTATGGAGTTTGACTAAAAAGAATTGCCATCTTCCATGTTGCCATTGAGGAAACTAAAGCAAAAAGAGAAGGCAACAATCTTTTCCTGGTGCAGCATAGGGAATATAGGTGATAGTACTGTAATAACTCTGTGTGGAAACATAGGATAGCTACGCTTGTGAGCATAGCATAACATTAAGAGTTATTGAATCACTATGCTGTACACCTGAAGCCAATGTAGCTTTGTGTGCCAACTGTACTTCAGTTTAAAAACAGCTTTTCCTAAAAGGATGTGTTGTATTATTACACATGTAGAAATTAGTGGAGCCAACCCACATGCCCAGGTTTTTCTAGAATTGATGCTAATTTCAATTTATCACACTATGACGTTTGAAAAACATGATCCCCAAATCCTCCCATTTAAGAAGTGGGTGTCTATGTCTCCTATCCTTGAATCTGGGTGGAAACTTGTGACAGCTCCAACCAAAGGTGAGCGGCAGAAGTAAAGATTTTTGACACTAGCTTAGAAAAGACTATATAGCTTCTACTTGGCCTTCAGAGAATGCTTTTGGAACCAACAACCATGCTGTGAGGAAGCTCAACCGAGTCCTCATGGAGAGACTGGAAATCTGCTGAGACTATATGAAGAGAGAGAGAAAAAGAGAGACACACACACACACAGAGACAGAGACAGAGAGAGATTTTGCCAGCTTCCAGCCGTTCCAGTCCCCACTTCCCTCTCACTACCCTCTCCAACAACCTCACCCCACGCCCCACCCCCCATGACTATTATAAGCCTAACCATTGTTGGACTACAAGTGCACGGGAGACCCAACCCAGATCCTCCCAGCTGAGACCTTCCTGAATTCCTGCCCCACAGAAACTATGAAAAAAAAATTACTGTTTTTAGCTAGGTTTTGAACAGAGCAGTAAACATTTGGTGAGAGCATTATTACCAAATGTATACTACAGCCAGAGCCTAAAGAGGTCTACCAGGCAGTGTGCTTCTTCCTGAGCGGTTCAAGGGGTAATATACAATATCTTGTTTTTGGTTTTGTTTTTGTTTTTTTTTTTTGTTACCTTGAAGAAGATGTCTTGGCATGCCCCAAACCACTAGACAGCTCAAGATTTCACTGATGTGGTAGGTCCCTGGATCCTCATTAGCTATATCTTCCACCTTCTGAAGTTCATGTGTCTTATCAAGGCCTCCAAAATATTTGCCACTTCATGCTTATTTGACCTGATTAACATGATGTCACCAGGGGTGCCTGGATGGCTCAGTTGGTTAAGCATCCGACTTCGGCTCAGGTCATGATCTCACAGTTCGTGGGTTCGAGCCCCACATCAGGCTCTGTGCTGACAGCCCAAAGCCTGGAGCCTGCTTCTGATTCTGTGTCTCCCTCTCTCTCTTCCCCTCCCTGACTCATACTCTGCCTCTCAAAAATAAATAAACATAAAAAACTTAAAAAAAAAAAACACATGATGTCACAAATAAAGTGGACAAATGTATGGTTCTTTAAAATGCCCAAAGAGGGCGCCTGGGTGGCTTAGTCGGTTAAGCGTCTGACTTTCGCTCGGGTCATGATCTCGCGGTTCGTGGGTTCGAGCCCCGCGTCGGGCTCTGTGCTGGCTGCCAGCTCGGAGCCTGGAGCCTGTTTCAGTCTGTGACTCCCTCTCTCTCTGACCCTCCCCTGCTCACCCTGTCTCTCTCTCTCTCTCCTAGAAATAAATAAAAAATATTTAAAAAAAAAAATGCCCAAACAGACCAGTCACCATATTATGAGTTCTAACAACTCCTTATTCCAGTTATATACTCAGGGACTGGAGAAATGACCAACAGTGTACACACCTGATGCTCAACTGACCTACTGTGAACAGGCTATCAATGTCAACACAGAGTTCTTGAAGTGTTTGAGTATTCCCCTTTCACTAGTACAGGGTTCCCTAAAGCAAATGATTGTGCATCCCTCTGGAGAAGGTCTGGGAGAATTGTTACAATAGTACTTGCCATGACCTCGTAGGGTCCTTTCTTCATGAGACCCAGCTTGTCTTTCAGTTGATGGACTCTGGGTTGACACCTAGATCAGATTCAGAAACCCAGAAGGGATTGTGACATTTTACTGGGGCACTAGCCCTTAGCCTTCTTTCCTTTTTGTTGAATAGATCAAGAAATGACTATTGTCTGCTCATTCTGTCTTGACCTTGGCAATGCTGTATTCCATTAACTATCTCCATAGCACTGTAGGAGTCATGTCTTCTTGCCCCAAACTTGCCACTCTTTACAGTAATTGGGCTTACTTTACTTTTGATAGTTAAGTGCTACCACCTGTATTTTTTTCGGGGGTCTACCAGCACTTTGCTATCTGAGAGACAGTTCTGCAATAGCATCCTCCAAAATCAGTCCTTGTCTGTAGAGGTTAGCCACCACAAAGATTCTTAACAATGCTGGTGTCCCCAGACAATCCTGTTTTCTTTGGTAAATGGAATGTCCTCTGAAGTCTCTCACAGAACATAATAAGCTAACATAATAAGCTAACAGAAAACAGAAGTTTTCTGACATTGCATGATATAGCACAGCAATATGCCCGCTCTCCCTCAGCCTTTCTATCCCTTCCTCCATCATCGGCCACAACAATGCTGGCATGTCTCCTGAGGTTCTTGCTAGGATCTTAAATCCTGCATCAAGAGCAAGTGTTCCTGTATCTAGAAACTACTATTATTTTTTTGAGCTTATTTACTTATTTTTTGAGAGAGAGAGGTGGAGAGAAGGGGAGTGTGTGTGTGTGGAGGGGGAGAGCAGAGAGAGGGAAAGACAGAATCCCATGCTGACTCTGTACTATAAGCAGCAGAGTCTGACATGGGGCTCAAACCCACAAGATCATGACCTGAGCTGAGATCAAGAGTCTGATGCTTAACCGACTGATCCACCCAGATACCCCTCTATAAACTATTATTTATCTAACTTTATATTCAATCCTCCTTAATCCAGCCCTCCCCATTCATTCACTGTCCCTTGCCAAAAAGTGGCTAGACCCTTCAGCTCCTTAGGTATATAATCCCTTTCTTTGATTTGTAACCTCAGCACTTCCCGAGCTGGGTTACATTGTGACTTGACCTTAAATTATTCTTCTGGTGATTGTAAGAGGAGGTGGGGTCGATTATGAGGGGTGCATGTTGCCTTGAAAGGTAGAGTCTTCTGCATAATCTTTACGTAAGAAAGAATTAGCCTTTAATAAAAAGGAATGCTCCACCTTTTCTAGGACAAGATAGTCCAGTGGAATCTGAGGGTTCATATTCTTCCTCATTCTGAGTCTCAGGGTCCCTCTCCCTCCAACAGGGCCATGAGCTTAGTGTAGGAGACCTGCCGAGGTGAAGTTTCAACCTCCATGTAACTCCAATACTCTTATACTTAAATCCTGGCCCTAATCCTCAGATTTTTCTGCCATCCTGCTGAAGATGGGAGTCTGAATCCTGCCTAGGAGGCCTTGTGGCTTTCACACTTTGCTTATATTGGTGGTTAGTTGCCTTCAGCCTTTCACTGATGTCCTCTCATGCATGGATGGCTCTAGCAATATCCATCTGGTTTCAAAGTCCTTATAATTACTATTTACCACAAAACTCTCAAACGCCAGAAATATTGTCCTTGCTGGTACAATTTGATTCCACCAGTATACCATCCCAATTCATCACTGGTGAAAATTTTAATGGTTACAAGTACATGATAAGAGCAATTAATGCTTCATGTCTCACCAGTTATGGAGTCATCATTGCCAGCTAGCTGAAATCTGCTTTCTTGGGCCCCTTCTGGTACCATCTGTAGCAGGTCAGATGCCCTAGGAAACAGGTGCTGGAATTCTTAGAATTGTGTGCAGCAGGTTTATTGGGAGATTCCTCTCAGGAATAATAACCATAAGAGATGAGAGGCGGGGAAAGGCTAGGTCTAGGAAGAAACTGAACTGTCATGAAATTGCAACAATGCCCCAACCAAGTTTTAAGAGGAGTTCTGGGATATCAAAAGTCCTTTGATATTGTCCTGCCTTGAGGCAGGGACATTGTACCTTCACAAATCTTCCTCCACCCACCCCTTAACTCTTGCCACCAGGAAAAGAGGGTGAACTCGGTGGGGCAATTCCCTTGGGCTGCTGACATTTCTTAGCCAAGAACTCCCCAGAATCTGGGGGAATGATGACTTTGGTCTGAAAGACAGATCTGGTTGGCATATCATAACATTCATTATCCCACAAGATGATGTTAAAATCAAGACAACAGACCCCAAATGGAGTTGTTCATGCTAAGCTCCATGTGACCAAACCAAGACTTAACTTAATTACAGCTTCAGCTCTCCCAGAAACAGAATCTTTAACCAGTCAATCAAGAACTGCCTGATCAGCACTAGTTCAGTAAACTGCTTGATAGACCCCTGCCATCTTCTAACCTGTTTTTTCCCCTAGAATAACTTCTTTGTTCCTTCTCCTTTCTGCCTATAAAAGTCTTTCATTTTATACACATCCATGGAACTCCTTTCTGCTATATTGAATGCTGTTTGATTCATGAATTGTTGAGTAAAGACCTTCAAGATTTACTTAGTTGAATTTTATTTTTTTTAATGTTATTTTTTATTTTTGAGAGAGACAGACAGAGCATGAGTGGGGGAGGGGCAGAGAGAGAGAGAGAAACAGAATCAGAAGTAGGCTTCAGGCTCTGAGCTGTCACCGCAGAGCCTGATACGGGGCTCAAGCCCATGAACCCCGAGATCATGACCTGAGCCGAAGTTGGATGCTTAACTGACTGAGCCACCCACGCGCCTCTTAATTTTATTTTTTAAAAGTGATAACTATTTTCCATCTCTGCATCAGGGTCTACCAAATATTTCTAATAGGCTAACTGTTTATCACACTCTAGACACTGCAGAGCAAGAGCATGGGTCGAATTAGAGAGTGAGCTTTTGGCATCCTATGATTCCATGGCACACAGGAAGTGGTCTTGGAAAAGGCATTCTGTTCCAGGCTTTCCACAAGTTCTTTATCAGATTAGATCTGTTACACATGTCCAGGTGGTCTGCAAAGTAAAGGAAGGGATACCTGTGATACTGTAGTTCATAATAAGAAATATGTTTGGCTTTCATCTACTGTTCCTAGCATGGAATTTCCTAAGTGAAGAAATCGATAAAGGTCTTTTGTTAATGAGGTGACTTTTGGAAAGTCCCTAAGTAAAGGATGGGGACTGGTTGCCAGGGGAACAAACCACGTGATCAGAGGGCTGTAACTTTCAGTTTCACCTCCAGCTCCAGGAAGGGGAGAAGGGCTGAGATTGAGTTCAATCACCAACGGCCAAAGATTTAATCAATCATATCTGTGTACTGAAACCTCCATAAAAACCCAAAAGGACAGGATCAGGAAGCTTCCTTGTTGTTGAGCACAGGGAGATCCAGGGAGAGCAGAGTGCTTGGAAAGGATATAGAAGCTCTACACCCCTCCCCACTACCTTTCCGTATGCAGCTCTGCCACATGGCTCTTCCCGAGGTAGTACATCCTTTTATAATAAACTCGCAATCTAGGAAGCAAAGTGTTTCTCTGAGTTCTTTAAGCTGCTCTAGGACATTAATCAAACCAGAGGAGGAGGTTATTGGAACCTCCAAGCTATAGTATGTTGTCAAAAGCGATGACTATCCGGACTTGCAACTGGCATATGAAATGAGGGATATAGTCTTGTAGGACTAAAGTTGTGGGATCTGGTGCTACCTCCAGGAAAACAGTGTCAGACTGGAGTTGTTTTGTGGTGTGGAAAAAGAACACATATTGGAGTGTCAAAGCAACAATATTTGGACTTTTAACATCATTTGAGCCATAGTCAAAGGAAAGCAGCAAAGCGTAGTGGGAAAATCTATTGCCCTTCGAACCAGAAGATACAGAGATTTGGAGTCTAGTCCTGGCTTTGCCACTCATTGCTAAATACATTGGAAAAAAAATCACTCATGCTCCCTGAATCTCAATTTGTTTTAGCTGTATAATGAGTATAATATGACCAAGTTGAGTTATACTCATTTTACAGGTGGTTGTAAGAACCACAGGGGCAATATTTGTAACATATAGAGTATTATTATTGTTTTGGTTGAAAGGTGAATTTCTTTTAGGATCGTAACAAGGACCCTACATTGACTGTATCTTTATTCTTCACCAGCTTTGAGTCACTAATTGGTGAATTTTTCCAAATTATGCTATTTTACCTGAAAAGGGTTGATTTTTCTACTCTATAGGACTCTGAAGATAAACCCAAAGGGAACCTTGCCAGGTCTGACCTTTTGACAGTCAGTCTAGGATGCTTTGTTTTGGAAACCTCTCCCTGATAGGATAGAAAGGACCAATTTCAAACAAGTCATTTAATAGGAGATGGCCATCGTGTGCAACAGCCACCGAAAGCAAACCCTCAAGTAATGCTCCCAAGTCTCCAAGGACAGCAAAAAGGAGAGAGAGAAAAGGTAGACAGAAGGAATGATAATGATACTTTATAGGCATATAGATTTTTCCCTCCATTGACTTCCACGCTTTTGGCAAACTTTAATTGGCTAATCCTCTCATATCCCTTTGAGGGTAAGTAGGTGGCAAGTATTATCCCTGATTCTCAAATGCAACAATAAAGGTACAAAGACTTTAAGTGCCTCGCCTGAGGTCACAAACATAGACTAGGGGATAAAGGCCAGCGACCCCACTCACAATCCACAGACCAAACTTCGAGGTCTCCCTCTGCAGAATCAGTTGGGTCTTTTGTAGATCCTTCTGAAGCAAAATCCCTGACAATTCGTTTCCCCAAAGACAGAAAAATGTGTCTTTGTTTCTCTGTAGCACTTGCCTCGGATCAGAGGCAATAATACATATTTTCAGGCGTGATGAACTTTCCTACAGTTAAGCAAAACTCAACGTGGGCAGTAAAGAAGCCTTTTGTGTGTGTGTGTGTTTAATTTCCAAGTAAGACATTGATGTTCTTTTCTGGGGCTGAACACTCTTTGAATCCAGCAGCAAGGCAGAGCCTGTGAACAAAACCCTTCCTATTCACTTCAAACTGTAGTATCTTTGCTAAACATTCTTCAGAGAATTCCCAGCTTTGTTTTGTAGATTACCAAGGCTTCTCTTCAAACTTCCCAGCTGACCCCTGTTCATCTAGTATCCTGGATGTTGCCAGGAGAAACAGACTGTCCTCACCAGATTAAAGCTTTCTGTGGGCTAGAAGACAATTTTGTATTTAAAAAAAACAAAAAAACAAAAAAACCCAACTCTGACGAGAATTGCAAAAAGCCTTTAGGAATAGAAGCAGGTAGAAAACCTATGACTCAAGTTAGAATAGAATTATTTCACCTTAATGAGACTCACAAAACATTGAATATTTTAGAACCCAGTCATTATGTGGAGAAAATGAAATTTTCATGCAGATTCCATTAGGCGCTGTGGCGTGTTCAGGGCATCCTGCTGTCGGCTTTGTCAGAGTCCTGAGGCCCTTCACTTTGAGGTCGATGGCACCCATGATGCTATTACATGTCCCTAAGGGAAAAAACACCGAGTTTCTTTGAATTGGAAGGTGCAGAGGAAGAAAGAGGGAGAGGATTTGGGGGTGGGGTGAGGGGAGAGGAGTGAGGAGGAGAAAAAGCAAATTGTAAAAGGACTATTTGGGCCACAGCAAATCGATAATAATTCCCAAGCCTTACAGTTAAGTCAAACCATGTCCAGTGTCTGGTGCGAGCATGGGTATGTTGTGTTAAAAGATAAACTGAGGCATATTAAACATTTTACGATGGGATTTGAGCATTTCTCTGTTTGAATGGGGCGAGGCCCAAACCCCAAGTGGTCAGGAGCGCTGGGCTGGGAAGCCAGGGAAGAGGCTTATATAGAAAACATGCGGAAGCAAAAAAAAAAAAAGAAAAAGAAAGAGGAAATTATTGATCAGCTGTAACTTAAAGCCTAGTCGCCTGCTTGTGACTAATCTTCTTTAGTGTTTCGATTTGGTAAACTTGAGGCATTTACAGGCTTGGATATTTGGTTTGCTTATCTAGGCCACTTTCACTTTAGACCCTCATCAGTCTAATGGCTTCCTTGTTTAATTAATTTAACAGGAGTGAGTCTAGAGCTCACTGAACTAGGCCTAGTTAACCCGGGTTGGGGTCACGCTCTGCTATGTACTATGTCTGTGAACCTCTGGCCAGTTTTTTCAATATTTATGGCCCTTAGTTTCCTCACAAATCAAACAAAGGAGCTAGGGGATTTTGAAGAGGTCCCCCCCCACCCCAATGATCTCTGAATGACTAGTGGCCAAAACAGCCAATCAGCCCTCCCTTCCTCTGTCCCTCCTTCCCTCCTGATCAGCTGGTGGCCTGAAATAAGGCCGGTATTCTTTGTAGTTGGGTTACCCAGAGTTGCTTCTTGCCGTTTAGAGCATGCTCTTTCCTGAGCTGCCTGCCCAAAGCTGCCAAAGTCCATCTCTGGGGAGAATGGGAGAAAGAGCACTTTGGGGGAAGGAAGGAAATTGTCTTTGTTGATGGCTCACTCTCTCAAGCAGCCCTTTACATACAAATCTCATTTGCTCTTCAACCCTGAGAGGAAAATGTTGTTAAGATCATTTTCTAGATCAGGAAACTGAAAGTCATAAGAGATACAGTGACTTGTTGAGATCACGCAGTCCTAAGAATAGAGCCGAGGCCCTGCAACTGGTGAAGCCAAGGGCAAACTGAAAATGCAGGGCCCTTTGTTTCAAGGCAGCGGCAGCAGAATGTGGGACCAAGCGTGGGTCCTTCCAAGCTCAGGCCTCTGTGACCGCAGGTAGTAAACACGTGAGGCCAGCCCTGAGGAGAGTCAGAATACACACGTATTCTCTTGTGCACTTTATGTCTGGATTTTCTCCATTTGCTCCTTCCGATCCACTCAGCTGAACTGGGCTCTGTCACCCCGAGGCTGAGCTCCAGGACATGCCCTCAGGTGGTTCTGGTTGGGTTTGGCCAATGGGAGGCTCTGGCAGGAGGCCCGAGCGCAGGACAGTGTGAACCCCCTTCCTGTCAGGTCAGGCTGCAGTTTGGCAGTAGCTGTGTTCTCCCTGCTCTCTCAGCCCCGCCGGGTCACATGACTCTAGTCTGGTCAGTCAGAGTCTCCCGACCTCCCTGGCCACCTTGACTGCCTCAAGGATGCGCACATCTCCTGGGGACATTTCTGCTGGAGTTGGTGGGGGGGGGGGGGGGGGGTTGAGAGTCTGTCTCCTTCCTCTCAGGAGTCAGAAAACTTTTTCTGTCAAGGGCCACATCGTAAATATATTAGGCTTTGCATCCCACATCGGGTCCTGTCTCATCGCCTTCTTCGTTTACCGTTTCACAACCCTTTATAAATGTAAAAACCATTTTTAGCTTGCCATGTGTGGAGTTGCGGATGTACAAAAGCAGGCTAGTCGTTTGCAGGTTCCTTAGGGACACAGTACAGAAAAAGCGAGGCAAAGAGCTACCTGCAGCATTGTCTCTAGCGGTATAGAAGATGCCAGCATGCGCGTGCGCACACGTGCGGACCAAAGGAGAAATTCTGGAGCCATGGAGACTTCCCCGAGCGTCACTGACGCCCTGGTTCTGCAGCCCTTTCCTCTCCTGTGAGCCACCCAGCACTGTTCCCAGTGGCTGAGCACACCGAGCTGGGACTGAGTTGGGTTTCTATTATTTGCGAATGACCAAATCCCTGCCAAGTCTCTAACTCCAGAGCCCACAGCCAGCCCCTCCCTGGATTCCAGCGGTCTCAGAGCAATCCCACACAGCCAGAACCTCGTACAACTCTTCGTCAAGGACACCAAGGGTGACAACGAGCATTCCTGCTCGAAGTTTTACACGGTGGGCATTTTTGGTGCAAGAAAATTGGAAAGTAGAAAAGTATGACCAAAATAAGCGTGAGGTCTCTTTGCGTCAATGGTTAGCGTCATAACTCACAGCCCAGGCAGCGTTGTTGTTTCTAAACAGGCTCTCTGTGGTGCCACGGATGGAAACCGGAGGCCTCTGGCCGGGAGGCCGGGTCTTTGAGAGCAGCAGGACTGCTGGGGCGCCTGGGCGGCTTAGTCGGTTAAGCGTCCGACTTTTGCTTGGGTCATGATCTCGCGGTTCGTGGGTTCGAGCCCCGCGTCGGGCTCTGTGCTGACTGCCAGCTCGGAGCCCGGAGCCTGTTTCAGTCTGTGACTCCCTCTCTCTCTGACCCTCCCCTGCTCACGCTGTCTCTCTCTGTCTCTCCTAGAAATAAATAAAAAAATATATTAAAACAAAAAAGTTTAAAAAAAGAGAGCAGCAGGATTGCTTCCCTGTGGCAAGTATGCGTTGCGGGTCATGCTCAAACACTGCTGTTGCAAATGGCCTGGTGTCCTGCGTGTATAATGGAAAGAAACAAGCATTTAATAGTCAGGGCCTGTGACGTTCATTCAAAGCGGGGAGGCACCCCAGCTTGGAGCATGGACAAGCTCCATCAATGCCGTGTGTGACCCCCTCAAAGGCAAGATGGGAGGGCAGATTCCTCTGCAGGGGTGGTCTGTAGGAAATCTTTGTTTCCTTAAAAGAAACGTTTTGGGAGAAAGGCTTATAAAAGGCCACCGCAAGGCCTTATCCGTGACTCAGGCTGGGCTTTTTAAAAATAATGCTCCACACTTTTCAGAAAAAAGAAAGCTATGAATTGGGAGTTAAACACGGTGATGGGAAAACTCAAAGTCAGATATTCCGTCTCCTTGCTCCCATTAAGTAAGCTCCATATTTGATGTGACCACGGGTCTAGTTTGGGGCTGTGGGAAACATGTTCAGCACAAGGAAAACTTTAGGAGAGATTGTTCCTCTGAATAAAGCAGGCTGGTCCTCCCTTTCAGGGTGGCGCGAATTGTCCACTAACCAGACCACAGGGCCTCTAGGACCTGACCATGTGTGGAAGCCTCCTGAGGGTCTTGCTAAAGTATAGAATCTGATTCAGCAGCTCAAGGGTGAGGCCTGGGCCTCTGCATTTCTAATAAACTCCCAGGTGATGAAGATGAAGCTCATCTATGGACACAGAGTAAGAAGCAAGGGACGAGGCGTGCCATTTGCTGGGGATGTTTGGTCACTAACACATGTTAATAATAACTAACATGTACTGAATGCCAACTGTGGGAAGTAAAGTCACAGAGCTAGTAAGGAATGTTGCTAGCAACTACCTCTAAATCTCACCCTTCTCCTGCTACTCCAGGCTGGCTCTCTGCAGAGTAGAGAGCCAAGGGGAAGGCTCGGGCTTTCTCTCAGTCCAACACAAGAGCCCTCGCAGCCCAAGGAGCCGGTAGCTCAGGTGCAACACCTGGCACACGCTCCAGGCAGAACCTTCTAGATGGAAGGTTGGCCTTGTTCAGTGACAGGCATTCCAGGATTTAAGAAAAAGCACATCTGGCATTTCCAGATGAACGGGCTAGTCTTTCCATTCAGCCAACCTGACTGATTGTGCAGAAATGAAAGCAGGAAAAACCTGATTGGAAAAAATGGCTGATTCTGTACAAAATACACTAGAATGATGAGCTGCTCCTCCAGGGCAAATGGGAGATGCTTCTTTATCACTCACTGCAATCCCTCGTGTGGCGGCACGGTATCCTCAGAAGATAGACGCCAAGAACACGATCTTGACTCCTGCCTTTGCTTCTCCATTGACAGTTAGTAAAACATGGGGTCATGAGGAACAAATCTTCCAGAAGGGAACTGCATATTTCAGGCAGTCTGTCTCTGACAAGCCTGGATTCCAGAAACTTTTGTGGAGCAGGTTTATTGTCTCAGTCTTTGTGCTGATTGGATGTGGGTGATGGTGGGCTTGCAGGATGGGTTAAAAACACAATCAGCTTTTCAGAAATGTCTACCCCTGTAAAGCTTCACAAAGGAGTTTCTCCTCTTTGGCCTCCTCTCTGAATAGTTTCTGTGGTAGAGCTTGAGGCAAAAGCAGCTCTGGGCAAAACTGGGACCCAAGGGGAATTTCTCACTGACATTTGCCTACCTCTTCCATCTAGTCCTTCCTCCCTGCCTCCAGCCTCCTCCACTCTTCCAATCCCATCCACAGGCACAAGGTGAGTATATTCGTAGGAGAGGGAGGGAGTGGGAAGACTCACTTAGGTATTATACGGGTTCCTATTTTTTTTCTATACTGATGACAACTTAGCCATTTCTTTTAGTTGTCACAGAGCAAACAGAACCGTGATTTATGTTTTATCATTTATATAACTGATTGCATGTACTTCTAAAATTTATATCAGATTTCTGACAGTTGTGAATCATTTCCCCCATCTGGAAAGATAAAGGAACGTGTTCTCCCCACTTCGGTCCAGCTGCAACCATCTCAGAGTTTATAGTTCCATATTGTTTTTCAACAACAGCATTGAAAATAAAAATCTTGGCTCAAGAAGGAGCACCACCCCGCCTAGAGTGACATGTCAGCCACCCAAAATGTAAGCACCCTTTATGTCCCAGTAATGTCTAGTAATGTTTACAGTCCAGTAATGTTTGATCACTTCCCAAACACTAAGCCAACTCTGGGCTCTGTACTTACTTCCTTGTTCCTTTCTCTTTATTCTGTAAACGCTTCCCACCTACCACCCCATCTTGCAGTTCTCCAGATGGACACGTCCACTTTATGAAGTATTAAAAAAAAGTTTGTTTGTATTACCTAAATGGTCTTCTTTAATCATTTTTAGCAGTAGTAATCAATTACCTGATGTGTTTACTGGTGAAAATTCAGGCTGTCTGGATCCCAAAGACTATAAAGCCTGTGGGAGCTTGGAAGAGGCAAGGGACAGACAAGATAACCCCAGGTCATTGGCATCTCTACTCCATCAATACAGGGCAATGTAAGAGACCCCGAGGAAGCCAGGTGACCAAAAGCTTTGCAGTTTTTGAGATTGCCTTCCATTAAGGGAAAGATATGTATCTGTGATAAATGCACTTACTCAACAAAAAGCTTTTATGGCAACAGTGAACAACTGGAAATTATCCCCAGTTTGAGGAGCTGGTCAAAAAATTATGAAACTAGCCTGCTGGGGCGCCTGGGTGGCTCAGTCGCTTAAGCGTCCGACTTTGGTTCAGGTCATGATCTCATGGTTGGTGGGTTTGAGCCCCGCGTCGGGCTCTGTGCTGACAGCTAGCTCAGAGCCTGGAGTCTGTCTTTGCATTCTGTGTCTCCCTCTCTCTCTGACCCTCCCCTGCTCGCACTGTCTCTCTCTGACTCTCAAAAATAAATGAAAAACACTTAAAAATTTTTAAAAAATTGTGAAACTAGTAAATAACTCATGGAACTATTAAACTATTAAGCCATTAAAACAATGAGTTAGCTCTACCCATGCTACTAGGCACAGGTCTCTATCATATGTGTAAATGGGGAAAAATAAAAAATGTGTAATTTGCCCCTATTGTTTTTTTTTTTAATATTTTTTATTTATTTCTAGGAGAGAGAGAGAGACAGCGTGAGCAGGGGAGGGTCAGAGAGAGAGGGAGATACAGACTCTGAAATAGGCTCCAGACTCTGAGCTGGCAGTCAGCACAGAGCCCAACACGGGGCTCGAACCCACAAACCGCGAGATCATGACCTAAGCGAAAGTCAGATGCTTAACCGACTAAGCCACCCAGGCGCCCCGCCCCTATTGTTTTTGAAAGCCCATAAATACTGGGTATCTATATAACATGTCTGGAGTAATACATAGACAATATTAATAATGGCAGTCACTGGTAAGGGAAGTTGGTGCCTTTAATATATACCCTTTTATAAATTCTTGCTATTACTTATCATAATATTAATATTTACTGAGTATTTGCTCTGGGCCAGGCAATATTCTAAGTGTTTGGTATGTATTATCTTATTTAATCATCCAAAAGCATGTAGCACAGATTTCATTATTTTTAGTTTATCTTTGTATAAACTGGAGCAGAGAGATGTCAAGTAACTTGCCCAAAGTCGTGTATCCAATAAGGGGACAGAGCTGGTACTTGAGCCTCTAGAGCACTATCCAGTGGTGCTCTGTTATTATCTCCTGATGTGTTTTAAGCAGTAAAGCCTGGATTCAAACTCAGATAATTCGGTTGACTATGCTACCTGGTCTCTTTCTTGTACTGTTTGAATTTTTACCAAGCAGATGTATTCATATTCAGATTTAAAAGATCTTGACCAAAAAAAAAAAAAAAAAAAGGAAGATACTCTATAGTTTTAAAAAATCATCAGGAAGCTACTACATGTTAGCTCCACGCTAGGGAACACAGAAACAAACTAACTTGGCTTGCACTTCAGGCCTCACCATGGAATGGGAGCTACCTCCAAACCCAGTAGTAGAGAGGAAAGCGTAAGGTATTTGGAGGCTCAACGCCAGCCCCAGGCTGGGGAGGGAAATGGAAGGAGAGAATCCCAGACCTATACCGTCTGAGAGGAGTTCTCAAAGGTTAAGCAGGAAGGAAGGAGTTGCCAAATTTAGGATCTAGTGAGTGGGACTAGGGCTGAGGGTGGAGGAGGCAAAGACAGAGGTGTAAAATAATAGTCCTCCCTAAGAACTGCGAAGTTCAAGATGGTTCCAGCACAACGTTAAGAAGTCTGAGTAAGTAGAAATCAGACTGAATAAAGTGGCCAAAACCTCAGCCAGTGTGTTTCAACTCCGTAGTTATTGGTCCCTGGATGAGACACTTTCTCTTTGGGTACAACTGCTTCTCCCATTCAGGATATTTAGCATCACTGGCCTTTGCCCACTAAATGTCAGTAACATCCTGGTCAGCGAGAAACCCTAAATAACTCAAAAGAGATGATACTGCTCAGCCTCCTTTGAGAAGCATGACATTCAAAGTGCTGTGGGCCATAGGGATAAGACTTTATCATAAGGGCACCTGGGCCACTCAGATGGTTAAGCGTTTGACTCTTGGTTTCGGCTCAGGTCATAATCTCACAGTTTGTGGGATCAAGCCGCATGTTGGACTCTACACTGACAGCAAGGAGCCTGCTTGGAATTCTCTCTCTCCCTCTGCCTCTCTCAGTCTCTCTCAAAATAAATAAATAAACATTAAAAAACACTTTATCATAAAGACAACATGACACATCAAGGGGAACAACTTTCGGATTTGTGTTTTAGGATATTTCTCTCATTGAAGGATTCCATATCATTTGGAGGTGTGAGAAAATTGGAGGCAGGGAAAAACAACTAAGAGATTGTTGTTGCTAGAGGGCAACTAAAAATCCTGAGGGCTTAGAAGAGGGCAGTGAGGAAGTAGGAAATTGATTAACCACCATTAAGAAATAACAATGTATGCGTCTACCAACTGGAGGTAGAGATAAAAGGAGAGAGCAGCCAAGCACGTTCCCTGGGTAGATCTTGGTGACTGTGGGCAGACAGTGGAGCCATTTGCCGTAAGGAATATAGAACGAGCAGGTTTGAGAAGAGGAAGGTGATTTCATTTTGAACATGTTAGATTTGAGGTGCATTTGTCACATCCAAATGGGGATGTCCAGTGGGCCAGGAGAGGAGCTGGAGTTGGAGATACACAGTCAAGAGTCACCCATTTCAGCATTTGGGCGGTATTTGGAATCATGGCATCAAACGAGCCGAGCTGACCTGAGGAACCGATGTGATGTGTACCCACGCTGCTTTCGGCAAGAAGAACCATTAGGTGAACCATGAAATTGCCAATTCTTAACTGTTTTTATGACTTTCAGGAAAAGAATTTCATATGGTTCTAACTAAGCATAGCTCATCCTTACAATTCATGACTTTACTTTCACCCTCACCTGCAATAGGGATTAGATAATATTTTGCCTGAATATAGGGAGGCATGGAAGAGGTAGGTGTGCCATGGGGTGGAAACTAGAAAGCAAAATTGCAGCTTGAAAGTCTGAGGCCCTTGCCAGGTCAGGCAGGGAAAGTCAGCCCACAGTGAGGCGGTGGGGGGGGGGAGGGCAGGGTTGTGCTGATGAATCACTCAAGTGCACTGCCAATGAGGGGTTTGTACCCCTTAAAGAAAAACAAACTCTGTCTTCTTCTTTGGGAAGCCCAGGGAGATTGTTGCTAGCCAAAGAGCAGTGTGCAGACAAGTCAAAAGCATTTTGGTCCAAAGACAGTGAGTAAAGAGCCAAGATTTTCAGGGCCTGGGTTTCCTCTGATTGAGATGGTCCAGCCTCTCTCTAGGCCAAGGAATACTCAGCAAGCTAGCTACACGTTGCACCAAATACATACACCCTTATACTCCAAGTGTAAGACCCCATGCTTCAAGAGTTCCATTCTGTTAAAGTCCTTTGAGAAAGAAGGAGTTTATCTCATGCCTTCCATCAAGCTGTCCCCTGGGCTGATGCTTTTCAATTTATGTCTTCTTTATTGCCATTCCTCTGACTGCCGTTTGTGTCACAGCCTGGAACACCTGAGCTCCAACGCCCCTTAATAGAATGTTTCTTATAGGTAGTTCATAATAGAGGGATAAATGTGGAAAGTAGCCACACTTCCCTTTACTGCCTTTATTTCTATTCCCCAGAATACCAGTATATGGGGTGGTATAATTATATAAAATGTTCCTGAAAGTCTATGTATAACTAAAGAGACTTTTATTGAAGGAGGGTGGTTTTATTTTACCTACATGTTTTTGTTGAGAGACAATTCTCCACGAATATCTCACGTTTCTGTGAGCAAAGACATTCTCAGCCAAATTAAGAATGTTTGTATTAGGAGACATTCCACGATACTAAAGCTTAGTGACATCTCCCTCTCTGGAGATGTTTCGAGGTAAGAAAGATAAATACCTTCCATCCACTACCAAAATATTAGCTTAAATTCCAGATTATAGTTAAGATTTTTCTCTCTCCAGAGAAAGAGGACATGCAGGTCACCAGCAGCCCTATACAAGAGGAGAGTTTTCTTTTTCTTTTTTTTTTTTAAATGTTTTTTTTTTTTTTTTTTTTTTTTTTTTTTTTTTTTTTTTTTTTTTTTTTTTTTTTTTTTTTTTTTTTTTATTTCTAGGAGAGAGAGAGACAGCATGAGCAGGGGAGGGTCAGAGAGAGAGGGAGTGACAGACTCTGAAACAGGCTCCAGGCTCCGAGCTGGCAGTCAGCACAGAGCCCGATGCGGGGCTCGAACCCACGAACCGCGAGATCATGACCTGAGCAAAAGTCGGACGCTTAACCGACTAAGCCACCCGGGCGCCCCAAGAGGAGAGTTTTCTAATTGTAGAGGTCTTCTCCAATAATGCATCCCATACATGTGAGGGTGTTATTTGGCTCTCCCTGGATAGACTTTGGGGGATATTTCTCAAACATGCTGCATTTGCTGAGAGTAATAAATGGACTTTGTCTTTGACCCAGACATCTCATGACTTCCCTCTCTGTGTGTGTCTGTTATACACACACACACACACACACACACACACGTGTATATAGATACATATATAAATAAAAATATATATTGTGGTACATGTAAATAAAACTATGGCAGTATAACTTGTTAGCTTGGAAGCAAGATGAAAACCTCAGATCCTTCACGAATCCTGACATAACCAGTTTTATATGTAGATTCCTCCAAGGAAATGGATTCCCTAGTTAGAAGGACCACCCTGACCTGGGATCCATCTTTCCCCCAGGAAGTTGTGGGAATGGGGACTTTTCGGATAGCTCAGGTTGGGTTTGGCATTCCAAGTCTAGGGGGATGGGTAGTAC